GAGAAAAAAAGTCAGAATTCTGAGGGAAAAAAAAGTCAAAACTGTGATATTAAAGTCTTAATATTTAACTGAAATATTTACAAATCAGTTAACTTTTTTTATTTTTTCAGTGGCCCTAATCCTCTTCCGTATATACACCTGAAACCCTCGCAATGGGAGTGAATTAACCTGATGGGGCGAATTAAAATCATTTGAAACGGAAATCAATGGTTCGTTTCGAGGCCCGTTTTGTTCTGTGATGGTGCCCGCTTACCTCTGCCGGGAATCCAGAGAGTTTCCTGCCGGAGTCGGGCTTAGAACGGCGGGCGTTGATTTGGCCCGGGAGCAAGGCTGGTGTCCCGCTGTGACAGGAGACAGCGGGGTACCCGGAAACTGCGTCTCCGCTACGCTGGAGCTCTCTAAAAATACCTCATTGGGTCCCACAGAATTGGCGGTAGGTGGCCCAGGAGACGTTACCATGGAAGGCCGGACCGGACCGAGCACCCCGGGGAAACTGGAGGACGAGCCGCCAACGGGTTCCGCTGGGGGGTCCGTCACCTTCTTGACTGGACCTTCACTATCGGCCCCGGGGAGCTCTGGAGCGGCGCATACGTCTCCGTCGCTGAGTCCAGCCTCCTCACCGGGTCTTTGGTCGGCATTTCCAGCGGTAGGGTGACACGGAGGTCTCCCATCGAGAGAAATATTGCTGAGGAATAAAATAGCAGCCTGTCTCCTACGGGAGTCCTTCACTTTCCGCCGGTGTTCTCGACGAGCTCTCGCCTGTTTGCTGTTACTGCCGTTGGCCTGCAGACCACATAGAGCGGTCGCCATTCTACTCTGAAAATGCAGCTGTTGAACACACAAAGGCACCCAGTACCGGTAAACGAGGTTAAGCCCCGCCCACTTCAAAGTTATTGGCTATTTAACTAATTATGCGCTTTAAACCTAGAAAATACACGTCGCTGATTGGTTCATTCTAAACACATTTCCACCAACGGTAGCTGATTGGTTGTATGGGAATTCTAAGGTAATTCCTGAAATATACGGAAGCCAATTCTAATTACGTGATTAAACAGTCTGCAGAAAATGCAAATGTATTCCAAACACTTAATTGCTGGTCCGTCCCCTAAAAGACATGTTTTATTTGATATTACAGTTTGCAGTTCTGAGAATTTCTAGTGATAGTTGTTCATTTACCTTATTTGACTCCTGCATCAAATACATCTGACTTTGCACCATACAACTGTACTATTGGATAATCAAATGTTTAAGAGCACACATTTTCATAGGTTGTTTTTGTTGTTTTAAGAACAAAAAAAAAATAATAATCATCCTAACATCAGCAGACTTTATAGAATACCCTTTAAATGCAACTAATTTGGTTTGATTTAGTTGGAACTGAGCATAATTGGTTTATTTTTATATATATAATAAAAATAAACTCATTTATGAGGTTATTTCACCCTTTATTAGATCTCACAAGATCCATGAGCAAAATGAAAAGTAATTTAGGTATGAAATTGAAATTTCGGCATAAACACCCTCTATCTGTGTTGTTTTTAAAGAGATAAACATTACATTAATCATTAAGAATCTTGGTCTTTCAGTAAAATAAATAGAAGTAACCAGATTTTAAAAGGCAGAACATTTATTTTATTTTTCAAACATGTTTTGACAATACTTAAACACATTTTCTGAAATTAATATTTTTTGTGATTATTGAGTCACAAGGTTTCTGTGTGAAGTGAAGAACACAAATTTGCCCAGGAGTTTTAGCTTTTAATAAGATGAAACACTTAATTTACAATATGTTAGCATCATCTTTGGATCCTAACTTCAGTTTGTTTAGTGCTCCTTTCTGTCAAATTCTTTGGTTAACAAGGTAAACAAATTCTTAAGATTGTACATAACATGTTCATGTAAAAATTTCACAATGATGAAATAGCAGTTATATATTTCTACCTCATCAATATGTGATACTATTTATTGTTTTTTATTATTAAATAAGAGATACTAGAACTTCACCAAGACCTTTTTTTTTTTTTACAAATTGACATAAAAGGGCATGGATACCAATTACAATTTTATCTTGACAATATTTTACTGTTCCCCTTTTCCTGGCCTTGTTTGTCTTAGTGAAATCACCATAAAAGTATAAAAGAACATGTATCCATTTCCTGTTCTGTGTTGGTCTGTCACATAAAATCCCATCTAAATGTGAGGTTTGTTTAGTATTGTTACATGTAAAATTCCTAGTGAGAAAATATAATTGAAAGAAGGTGTCATATTCAAAACCTATAATCCACCAGAATTCTTCCTGGTATACTCTTATAACCAGCTTATAATCATCAAAAACAGAAAGCCTGAACTTAGATGCACCTTGAATTTATCTTTCTCTGTGCTGACACACCTCACATTTGTATCTGTGCAACACCCTGGGAGTCATATTTTTACAATTCTTCTGAAATTGTCTTTAAATTCATGTTTAATCATCTGAAAAAAATTAAGTTAAGTAAGTAAAATTAACCTCATTCACGCTTTTCATACTCCTTTTTACACGTGCGAGGGTACAAACAGGAATTTGACCTATGTTAATGCACATTCATGCAGATGTATTGTTAGCCACATTAATAGTTTTCCTTTATTTATCATAATTTCTAAGTGTCTTGCATAATAGGTAAAAGTTAAATAGGAAACAGTAGTTACTGACAGCCTGCAGCTGAGTCTCTGAATCTCTTTTGGTTGAATACAGACAGAGGCGGTGAAAGCAAGGTGGGCTTAAAGTTAGCAACCTTCTAGTATTGACATCAATACAGAAGAAGGACCAAAATCATGCTTTGTGAAAGAGCGCATTTGTCAGCTTTTCTGCTTAGAACTCAGGGCACATACAAAAACAAACCAAGACACCTTCACATTATGAATATACTGACTTAATTTAATTTCAGCCCAACACAAACATTTTTCACACATGCGAATTCCTCATATAGCACCACATTTGTTTTCTTGTTACTCTGCCATCTGAATGTTCAGATCCACATAGACAATGTGGATCTGAACATTCTGACCTGTTCTGTACAGCGACATGAACAGCTTGAGAGCAAACATCCCATCTGTAAAGCTCAATCTCTGTCTTACATTACTGGAATGTCTCATCAACTGGATAAGGTGAAAAAACCTTGTTGGTCATCATAAAAAAACTTTAAAAATGGAAGAAAGTAATATAGCTTTTGGTTTCCAAAAGTTCCTTCCTGGGTGGTTTGAAAGTTGCATAGACACATATCCCTTGCTAAGAGAGAATGACAGGTTTTACAGAGTAGAAAAGCGACAGTTGCCTTAATAACCATGGTATGTGGAATCCCATCTTGGAATGCAGAGTATGTTAAACCTTCCAGAAGACGGGCTACAGCAGCAGGTGACCACACCGGATCACCTACAAAATAAAAAAAAAAGGCAAAAAATTTTGTTTGGTTTGATAAGTTTTAGTTTTAACTGCTATCTTCAGATGAGAGGGTCAGAATTCGACATAAACAACATGAAATTATGGATCCATGAACATTCAGGCTTGTGATGTTGGTTTAATGCTAAAGGGGATATTCAATGGCAGAGCTTTCGATCACTAGTACCAGTTTAGTAATGCTTAAACTGGGGCCCATGTCTTTGTATCTTTATTGCATTTTACTTTAGAGTATAGGTAGCAAGTTTGCATCTTAAACAAATAAACACAAAGTTCTGCAATTTTGCAAAATATCTCTAAATTTGCAAAAAAATATTTTTTAGTTATTCTGACTTGGGAACAGTTTTATAAGTTGCTGTTCAGCTAACAAGTCTGGGAGTTGACAAAAATGTGCAACCCATAAGATAAGCAAATATAGCTGATAAACACTCCCTGATAGTCTTGTAAATAAGAACCGGTTAGCAGCTCTTTAATCAACATGTTAAAAAAAAAAAACATTATTTGTATTTTTGTACTTTGTATTAAAAGAAAAGAAAAAAATTATTTATATTTTTGTAATTTACATGTTTGTTGTTTTGCTTCCTTTAAATTATGCACTGTGACTTTCACATCACTAGTTTGTGCTTAGGAGGATTTTCTGTTGTCTCTGTAAGCAGTAAAGTATGTTCAGTCATGTCGAAACATGTTTTCATATCAATAATTACCACAAAGGCAAAGGCACCATCTAATGTTTTGGTGCCTGTGACTTTGTCAGCTGAAAATTGAAACTGTAACTGTCAAAAAGCAACAAAAAGCTACTTGACTGCTTGATCTTTAAAAATGATAACAGTTGTTTTAGATATGTCAGTTTGGCCTAGATTTTCATCCAGGAAAACCAGTTGTTGACTTGTAAAATGAAGGCTTGAACAGAATCTCTCAAAGCTCTGAAAAAACTTTCATTATCGTTATGACAGCATGAAAAAAAGAAACCCATTTGCGTCAATACTTTTTCCTGTCAATGTCTGTCTTTTACTCTTCATGGATGTTCATTCCCTCCCAGCTTGACACCAGATCCTACCTTTTAAACATTGATAGGTAGGTTTATGAGCTGTTTAAATCAATGTTGTTTTTTTGCCCAACACATGCTTAAGTAATGAGATTTTCCCCTCCCTGGTTATATTTATTTTAAGCTCGATTTGTAATAAGCTGCTTTAGGGTTCTGTCAATGTTCTGCAAATAAGCTGTAGAGAGTGTGACATGAAAATGGCTACAAACAGATGCAAAGTTGCATCCTACACCCTGAGTCAAACACACGAAGACGAAGAAGCCGAAGAATAGAAATAATGCAAAAATCAGCTTCTTAATGATGAGTAGCCTATTCCTAGAAGGTCTCAGGTTGTGTGGAGGTTTTTAGAGGATCCAAAAGCAGAGATGGTAGTTGAGGTGGTTTCTTGCAGATTTAATAAGGAGTAGTGGCAACAGAAGCATAAATCCAAAAATAATTGATCAAGAGACACAGGAACCAGAGCAAATGGGAACATGTGGGTTCAGGAGGGAATGAAGGGATGATGAGAATCCAGAAAACTAACTTCAGAGGAGGAGTAAAAATACTAAACAGAACAAAGGATTGAGTAATCAACTGATTGGGAGCACGTGTGGACAGAAGGATCTAGAATGGAGCGAGGGGAAAGGAGACTGACACAAGGGGGCAGCAGAGAGAATATGAATGAATTAACATGTCTAACTGCCAGTGTGAAGTTATGCATTTGTTCTATTCAAGTAATGATTGTAATCTAAATTAAAGATGTGGTATAGAAATAATATAATATTTTTCATGTTGCAGTTAGGCTACAGCTACAGTTGGGTTACTAGGTGAGAGGCAGGTCTTTGAAACAGATTGTTTTCCAGAGGCCAACAAAACACATTACCAAAAAGCAACTGGATTGGTTTTTTTTTAGTGCTTTGACTTTTCTAAAAGAATTAGAGACTCAATTGGAAGCACGGGAATGGGAAAAAATTTTGTTTTGCATAAAATGAGGAGTAGAGGCAGGGAACCAACTGAAATACATGGGATACTTGCCCTTTAGAAGTACAAAAAAAAGGCAGAGACCAAAGACTGTTTTATATTATGACCTTATAAAACATGAGTTATAAAAAAAAATAACAGCACATCTATTGTCAAAATAAAGTGGAGAGAAAAACATAAAATTGAGTGACATGAAAATGAAAATCACCCCCAACTGTTGCAAATCCTGCAGCTATTCTTTGCAGAAGGGGTTTTATGATGAATGTTATAATCTTTAGTCAGGTTTCAATAATTTTGAATAACTGTTGAACAAGATATTCGCTACAATTTCACCCATAAACTTCCAGTTGGACTTGGATGCTGAAAATTCCCATAAGATGTCCTGAATCCTTCCCTCATTCTATCACAT